GTTGAAAGGGACCTCTGGACATAGTCTTGCCCAGCCTTCTGCTCACAGCAGGCCCCCACGGCTTGGGCCACCTGGGGCCATATTTGTGTGAGTTTGGGCTATATGCAAGGATGGAGATTATACAGCCTATTCTGGTGCATAGCAACTTCATTGTTTAAAAAAAAAAAAACCAACCAAAAAACTTTACCTAACTTTCTCTCCCTGCATTGCAACAAGTTTGTTGTCTTTAGTCTTAATCGCTGTGCACTTTTCTGGAGAGTCTGTTCCTCTCTTCTCTGCCTTTCCAGTAGATAGCTGCAAACAGCAATAGATCTCCGCTGAGTCTCCTTCAGGCTGAAACGTGGTTAATACAAACTGCGCTGCATAGGGAAGGACCCTCAGTATTTGGTGCCTGGCTCTTTACCAGGAGCGTACGAAAGAAACGGTATCTAAACAGGTTTGAGTTCACCAATTGATCCAGTCCACTGATTCACAGTTTGAATTCACTGATTGAACTGTGTGTCGTGGAGTGTGAATACCTCCAGTTCCTGCAAACTGATGCCTGCTGAAGCTCCCTGAAACCTCAGGGCTGGTTCTTCAGCAGAGAACTGGGCTGGAAACCACGCAGAGCTCGGCTCTGACCAGGGACAGGCGCTCGCGGTTGCACATGCCTATCTGAATTCATATTCTCACTTCAGTGAGTTCTGTGCTCAAACAAAACCAAAAGTAAATATGCTATTTAAAATGGTGTATTGTGTAGATGGGTGTTGACTATGTCTGTAGTCTAATGTTTTTTATTATCAGTAGTGATTTGTTTTAAAAGGGAAAAAATATTCTTAGCTTTTTAATGCTTCATTTCTAGTAAGATGTTCTTTGTGTACCAGCTGTGTGATCGGCATTGTACACGCAAGATACTGGCATAAATGCTTTCTCTGTTAAAAGTGAGAATGCAAGTCATGCATACAGGGCATTAAGTATTGATTTTTGAGATTATCCTTCCTGAGAGTCTTTGAGCAGTGTTGTAAACTTGCCGTTGCAACAGTTACCACAAACCCAAACTTTGAAAGTAAGGCTCTTCTCAAATTTTGAAGTATTTGTAGCCCATTTCTAGCTTTTTTTTTTCCACTTCTGACAGTCTTGCAGTAAAAGACAGAGCTGGATTAGTAGCCCTAGAGTTTTCTTTTTTGAAGAAGTAAAATGTTCTTAAGCAGTCAGATGAATATTTGCTCTGTTGATCCAGGTTCTCCATAAACTCTTCACCAGTGAGACCTTGTGGCGCAGAAGTAACATGGAGTTTGTGTACTGATTCTTCTATATCTGTTCTTAGCCTCCAGCATCCATCCCTCCCCTTGCTTCCAAATAAGCAACAGAACTATACTGAATTTATGCTTGTGTTAACAGCCTAGAAGTAAGTCTAGAGTATCCCACTAGGTTTGTCCACTGGGCAATTCCAGGTCTCTCTCTTTCCTGTTTTTGTTCTGCAGCTGCAACTCTGATGTTTTGGAAATGGTGGAAATGGTTGAAATCAAGTATCCAGAGACAATTTATAGAGGATGCCCTGGCCATCCGTGTAACACCTAATGGCAGGCAGCTTTAGAAGGGCATCTGAAAGATGTACATCCGCGTGTACATCTTTCTGAAGCTGTAAATCAGGCTGTTCAGTCTGCCTGAAAAGTGCTTGGGTTTTCAGGTTTTTTCGGCACCTTGGGGGTTGACTAAATATATAAGCTTTGTCAATGTTGCTTTATCAGGTGAGATGGGATGTAGAAATCATCTAACAAGTCCAGTAACTCTTTAGTGTGTAAAAGACTTGATGTTTATTGGAAAACTGAAAATACTTCCATACGGTTTTCCACAAAGACTTCATACTTTTTGGAAAAGCATTAATGACTTCAGGATTTCTGCAGTTCACATCTCTGTCAAACGTGTCCAGCTGACACACTTCACTTTAATGTTCAAAACCTGTTATTTTGGGACTGTATGATAAATACAGCAGTATGCCTGTACCTTTGTAAGTTTGGGGAACATTCCCCTCTTAACTCATCTTTTGAACTATGAAGTGCCTAGTATTTTTTGCTAATGAAGCTGTCCATGGTATTCATGTGGCTTCCTTAGCCTCTTCTATTTTCACACCTATTTCCTTTCACGACTGAGCCCAATGTAGCTTTAGCCAGTTGGCTGCACCTTGCCTTGACCAGCTGCCGCTGCTTCTGCTGGCCTCCTGCTTCGACACCGGCCACCCTGGTCCCAGCTGCATCCTGCTGTGAGACAGCAGCCTGGCAGCAGGGATCGGATGTTCCTAAACGGTGTGGTGCTCGGTGCAAAGGTCATCCAGTTCGGTATTTTATTGGTAGAAGGTGTATGAAAACAGGATATTTCCCTGTAGCTGTGTTAGCTGGACCGTGGGACTCTGAGGCTTAAAGGATGTTTCACTTCAAACACTGGGTATCAATTATGGATGTAATTGGCATATCTTCAAAACTTATTTTAAAATAACTGGTATATCTTATTATGGGAGGAAAATGTATGAGTGGATTATAATCCAGTTGTGTAAAGCGATCACATCCTGCTTTCCAGCGCATCTTGCTAATGCAATAGCAACGGGGGTTTCCCATCTGCTTTGCAATGAATTCACTGAAGGGCAGCCTCTGAGCCTAAGAAGCTATTACGTCTATCGGTATCCCCCTCTCTATTCTCAGCTTAGTAGCAGTATAGAACTGGCTTTGTGCCACTGCTATGCATAAGCTCATCTGTACAGTTTTCATTCTGGCTTCTGATTTACTACAGGATTTCTGGCTGATGCTGGTTAGATCAGTTTTTTAACACAGTCAGTCTTCCTGATGTATTCTGTGAGCCTAGCTCTTCCTAGGTGTGAGGGGGCTAAGAGAAGCAGAAAGCTTTGGCTGCTTGCCTGGCTGGGTTGGTGAAGATGTCTCTAGCCATAACTGGTAGTGGAAGTGGCTTGGAGGTGACTGGCCCTAACCTGTCACTTTGTGCAGAGCTGCTTTTCTGCTGCATCCATCATGTGTAGCTGTAAAAAGCTCGGGATTGTTAAGAGCATGCTTGTATGAACCTCTGTGTTTTAAATTGTCAGCATGTGAAATTTCAGTAAGTAGATTTATCGTGCTGAGGGGGCTTCTTCCCCTGTGTTCTCTTTGAGTATGTACATCTTTTTTTTCTGATAAAATACATCTTAATCTTCCAGTTACTTTTTAATGATCTTGTTGCCACTATGTTCTCTTGATCGTAGAGAAAGAGGGCTGGAGGCGAGCTGCCCACTAGTGTCACGGCTACTACCTGCTGTGCCTTCTCTTGCATTAAAACTATTTTTCCACTCTGAACTTGAAGGGAATGAGCTGTGTTCTTTTGGTTGGCTTTTTTGGGGTGCAGTTTGGTTACTCTTTATGCTATGCCATAAAGATAAGTCTGTTTAGGGTTTTTTGTGGTGTGTGGTAGGATTTTTTTTTTCTTCTCTGGTTCTTACCTGTCAACTTCATTTACCATCCTGGGGAAACAGATCTATGGATGCAGAGTAAGGGTCGCAGGGAGCAAAACCAGCATTGACTGCTGACTTGTCAACAAAAGGATCAAACATCCATCTTCATCTTGCAGTTGTCTGGAATGAGGATTAAATCACAGATCCTCTTAAGGCGACAGGGGAGCCTTTAGTAAGTGGGTATCAATTTGTTTACTTACCAGACGAAAAACACTTTGACTGTTCTTATACGTTCTCTCCACAGAACTGGAGTCTTGTTTCTTTTCTTAGTACATTGTAAAAGGAACGGTGCTCAGTTAAAACCTTGTGCTTCTCCAGCCTCCTGGAGAAGCATGGCATGGCCCTTCCATTAGGTTACAAATTATTTTTTGTCATTGTGTTTGATGCATCCCTTATTGATAGTGTTTTCTGGTTGGATTTTGTCTAGGCTGGCTGAATGATTCTTCTTATATTCCTGAATCTCAGGTCTCTTATGATTGTTCATTTTTTACCTTAATTTATTTTTGGTTTTGTGAAATGTGGAAAATACTTGTAAAAGACATGTAGCTGGCTTCTTTGTGCATGTCATCCAAATTTTAGTTGCAAAGTTTGCAGAGTACGCCGGAGATTGTGCAACAAGCATTGTTTGCTTGCTTAGAATTGCCAAGCAAAAAAGCCGCATCCTTGCTGCAGCGGTAAAATATTATGGCAAACATCACTGTTTCCGCTCAGTTATGGTCACATGTTTTCAGCAGTCTTTATTTGCCAGCAATGGTGTTTCTACTCAGTTCTTTTCTTAGGCAGGTGAAATGTATTTGATGTGTCCTAGCGTTTAGCCTCTCGTGCAACTCAGGGTTTACACGTTAGAGGTGTGAATGAGGGTGAGGAAGACGAAACACGAAACAGAGTATTTTGTTTGTCACTTCAGCCAGATACCAGATTTTTATAAATTCATCAGTAGTTTTGGTGTGCTCTGGGCCTCTCTTGCAGGAAACTGATAGTAACAATTCACTGCAAAATGTTTATGATGCACGTATGCTTGTAAGGCTCACGCATTATACCTTGGATGTTATTTGAAGCTAGAAAGTTAGGTACAGGAGTAGCAAATCAGCCTTAGATTTTTTTTTTTTTAAACTCTCTTCCAGGACTCATAGTTGGGGTGATCTTGAGATATGGGACTCCCTCTACCAGCGGCCATGACAAGCCGTTCAGCTGCTCTCAGGAGGACAGGCCGTTTACAACCCTGCTAGTCAACGTCAGCGGGAAGTTCTTTGAGTATACGCTCAAAGGGGAAATAAGCCCTGGGAAGATCCACAACGTGGAGCAAAATGACATGTTGCGTAAGGTGAGGGTAGACCATCTCTTGTGCTTGGCTGAGTGTTTCTCCTTTATCTCTGCTTCCCTCCCTCCTTCCCACACCATCTCATTTGAACGTTGGGTAGTATCAAGTGTCTGTACTCCTGATAGTAACAGCACTTCAATGCCTAATTCAAAAGCACCTTCTGTATTACATCGCTGCCGGCGAAACTGTGCTCTGTTGCATTTACGTTGTGCTTTCCCAAAGCCCTTGATTGCTGTTTGAAGACTTCGTGTATGTTTCGGACATCTGTAGAATTCACGAAGACCAGCTGAACAAAAAAAGCCTGATGCTGCCTTGTATAATACAATATAGGGAAAATGATCTTTTCTTACAGAAAAGTGATTGTTTCTTAGCATTTTTTTCCCTCTATTAAAAAAAAAAGCTTAAATAGCATATCCTCTGCAAATACATGAATATAATTTACCACAATAAGAGATATCTTCTCCAGCATAATTTCTATTAGAATTTTTTAATTTAAAAAGGGGACTGTGTTTGGGGCTGCTGCAAGACTGTCATTGGTGATGGACGTAACGTCTGTTTTTCTAGATGCTGTTTACCATGAAGAGCTGCTGCTTTTTGCTGCTGCATATGTAGAGCTGGCCAGTATTTTGGAGGGTCAGCTTAGCCAGTTGTTTGCTATTTCAACAACCAAAAATGGTAGTTGTCAGAAAATGAAAGAGGAAAAAGACCTAACAGTTTGTGTATGTCTGTTTCTAATTGAAATGTCATGTTTTATTTTTTAGGTAACATTTGACCCAGAAGTTTTTTTCAACATTCTGTTGCCTCCTATTATTTTTCATGCTGGTTATAGCCTGAAGAAAGTAAGTGTAATAATTTTCTGAGAATAGCCTCCCCCCGCCCCTTAATGTGAGACTGCTGATTTGTTCAGGAATGCAGTCTCCATTTCAAGCATATTTTTTTTTTTATGGCAGCAAGAAAAATCTCATATCCTCCATAGATGGTTAGGTCATATTGTTTTAAGAGAAAATACATGTACTTGTTGCTATAAACACATTAAACTCTATTTAATCTTGCTGATTGGTTTTCCTTTGAACGTCGCCAGAGTTTAACATTGATTTCATTTAAATTAAAAGATGTCCTGCTATGAATTGCTTTGGTCCTTCTCAAATATCCAAAATGCAGTAAATTATGCTGAGAAGTGGACCCAAATCTGAATCCTGGTGGGGATGTGCCAGACACTGAATGGCAGAAGGGCCCAGATTCTCCTCTCGCTTGAAGATACCATGAATTAGTCCTGTTTTTCAGTTTTGCAGTTAACTTTTACACCTCTTATGAAAACATCTGTGTGGAAAGCTTCCTGTCAATAAGCTCCATGTAGGATTTAATACATGGTTCAGATTTGTTTTATTCAACTTATTGAAGTTGGACAGAATTTACATTGGAGTAATGGGAGCATTTCTCTCAAATGGAGGGCTGTTTCTGTGTATTAATGCAAGTGTAGTAGCGTGCTATATCTTTTTGAACAGGTGATATAACTTGTTTTAAATAAGTATATAAACCTCTTTTTCCTATGCAGAGACACTTTTTCAGGAATTTGGGGTCCATTTTGGCTTACGCCTTTTTAGGAACAGCAGTCTCTTGTTTTATTATTGGGTAAGTGAACTCTGCGATATCAGTTCCTTTCTATACTAAAGTTTAAGTTGATAAAGTGTATATTGAGCCTTCCAGATTGCCTCAATTTTGTAATTTGTTTGTTTGAGGATTTTGTTTGTGTATCCTCCAGACAAAATGCAAATGTAACTTTTGCTGAGATTTATCCCACTTCTAAATAATACTGTCGCTTGAAATGATATTGTCAAGTTTGAATCACTTGACAAGTCCACAGTCCTAAAGAGTGGCGTTGAGTTTTTGATGTAATGGTCCAGTCCAAACCAAAACTTTCTTAGACTCTTACTGGAATTGACTTTAACTTGAATTACAAACACTACTTGTAATAGAATTTTAGCTATGAAACTTTTAGAGATGTCCCTTTCATTGCCCACATGCGTGCATGTGCTCTCTCTTTCTCTCTCTGCATGTGTGTGTATATATATATAGTTTTATGTGTACATGCACACACACATTTAGTTTAAGATAGCTAGTCACCTTGGCTTACTTGCATACAATCTCTTATGCTGCTAATATTACTGTGTCTGGTGTATGGATATTCTGAAACACAGAAATCCTGAACTGCATAGGTGACCGTGGTTTGTCTCTCAAAGAATTTCACTAGAGAAATACTTTGAAGGCTATTCTTAGTTCATAGGCCAAAAGCTCTGAGCTGTGTTGGGAGAAGCAATACTGAGGGGAATTTTGAGCGGGGAAATGTTCCCTTTGGTGGAAAAAGGAAACAAGCTGTAGATTCTGTGTACTAGTTGTGTGAACAGATTTCATGCTTTGCTTACTAGTTTTAAATGATATATTCTGGATCATATATCACTTGATTCAGTTCATAGGGAAAAGAGGAAAATTAATTTTGAGAGCTTAGTGTTCAACTGCGGCAGTGTCCCACAGAGCTGTAGCATAACCAAGCCCGCCTGAAATATTGTTGCTTGTGCTTTTCCTTTGTCTGTCTGAAATGCACCAACTTGTTTGACTTGACTGTTTTATCCTCTTTCTCTTCAGGAATCTCATGTATGGGGTTGTGAAACTAATGAAGTTGGTGGGTCAGCTCTCTGATAAATTCTATTATACAGACTGCCTCCTCTTTGGAGCGATAATATCTGCCACTGATCCAGGTAGCTTGCTGAACATTTTTTAATAACCTTCCAAAATAATCCTATTGCTAGGATTGTTGGCTGCATAGCACGAAGATATTAACAGCACTTTTTTTTCAGTTATGTTATGCTAGTATCTCTGATCCTCTTCTCTGAAATGCATGCAAATTCTGAGTGTTGTGAAACCTGTTCTCTGTCAGTTTGGTGCTGGACTGGTATGATGTGGTGGTATGTTTGGGGAAAAATGTAACTTTCCTGTTCAAATACTTTAAATGTTTTTTTTCCCCAGTAGGATTTTGTTTAGTGTGCATCAAGTTTAAGACTGCAAATAGATGAAAATATTACATTATCTGGATAGCGGGACTTCCTCCTTCAGCTAGGTTTCTTGGGACATTGGGTAATTTAAGAGCAATATTTGAGGCTTTTAGGCTTTTTAGGTGTGGGGAATTTTTTTTTTTCTCTTTCAAATGAACTTCATGTTTTACAAGTTTAAGCAGAAGAATGTTCTTCTGGCAAAGTAATTTGAGCTTTTGCCTAAATAATCTAGTCATCCTTCAAAGTCCAGCAGGCTCACATAGGTGTCTCTGCTTGACAGGTCAGTCTGGAGAGCTGGTGTGTGTCGGGCCAGGGTAGGGAGTGGTGAAGTATGAAGCTTGACATTTAAAACAGCTTATTTGAGGTGCTCAGTGGTGATTCGTGTGAAAATGGGAAGTAGCTCCTGCGATTGAGCTGAGCTTTGAACAGCTGGTGGTTGCACACAATTTATGCAAAAAAAAACCAAAAAACAAACCACCATGTGATTTTTTTGAAGCTTATATATGGGAACATCTTGAAGATCATGGTCTTTCATCTCAGGCTGAAGTTTCTTGAAAGGATGGTTATAAATATTTAGCAGTCTTGCCCTTTTCAAATTCTGCGCAAACGCACACTCCTGTGGCATAGTGTATGCTTTGGGGAGCACTTAGGATGATTAGCACTATTTTACAGTGGCTGAAATAATAAAGCTATGTCAACAATCCATACAGCCTTTAAAAGTAGCAAGAGCTGCACAATGTTTTGTTGATTACCTTATATGGAACATGTTCTACAAAAAATATCAGGGCTCTGGTAGAAGTGCTTTGTCTGCCCCATGCCCCTTGATCATGGGGGCTTTCCTACAAACACTGTGCAGGTGGGAGGACGACAAAGCCACCTCCTAATGGAGCTGCCCTAAAACTGATGGTGGAATTGCTTACCTATAGATAAACATGACTAGTCTGTTTCCCAGTTTAATTTTGATCCTGTACTTCAGTTCCTGGGTTTTGTTGCTTTAGGAAAGTCTGCTCTGTCAGCTCATGCAGTTGTTGTTCCTGAAGTCAGCCAGTGTGGTTTTTCTCTTTTCTTTCTGTAGTTACCGTGCTAGCAATATTTAATGAGCTGCATGCTGATGTCGATCTCTATGCCCTTCTGTTTGGGGAGAGCGTGTTGAATGACGCTGTCGCCATTGTATTATCGTCGTAAGTAACTACTTGAATTTCTACTCTGAAACTACTTAATTGCTTTTGGTGTTTGTCTAAAATAAATGCTTTTTCTGAGAAATGTTATTTTGAATTTAAATGGATCGTCTTGAACTGCATTAATAAAAATTGCAAACATTTGCCAAGATCCCTTATGCCTACATTCACCAGAAAGGCAGATTTGCCTTCAGTATGGGATTGTCCCTTCTGTTGCTCAGGTGTTGCTGTTATGGAATAAAACTTTCCTGATGCTACTTCTAATTTCTCATTGTGTTACTTTCTTTCTAGATCTATAGTTGCCTACCAGCCAACAGGTGAAAATACCCATGCTTTTGATGCAGCAGCGTTTTTCAAGTCTGTTGGTGTTTTCCTGGGAATATTCAGTGGTTCTTTCATGATGGGAGCAGTGACAGGGGTTGTGACAGCTCTGATATCCTTTTTCACGTTTAGCTCTACCAGACTAGATGCTACATTCAGGTACTAACAGGGCTTACCTGTCTCCAACTACAGCAATGTTGACACAAGCTTGTTTTAATCTGAGTGTGAAGATGTGATCAGTATTCATGTAACCTTTTTCTATAGAAAGGCATATAGGTACCCACAGAAATCACCTTTTTCCAATATAACTGTGGCCACACTAGAAATTTTACTGATGTTGCTGCATGCTGCAAGCCAAGGGGAGGCCCTAAATGGGCATGTCCTAGTATTCAGTTTCTTTTTAGGAAATTAAAAAAAATAGTTTTTATTATTAGGCTTGAAAGACATCTCATATGATAACTGGTGTTTGATTCTGTTGTCAGCAAAATCATTAATAGCTATTTCTGACCCCACAGGGTTCTTTCTGAGAGTCCTGCATTTAACCTTTCTGCTGGAAATCTGATGTCATCTGTCTTGGATAAGACTGTATCTCTACTAGAGTTAACATCATAACATGATGTGCTTTGCATGACCTGTCCTGCTCTCTTGAAGCTTACTGCCACTATTTGATTAGAGCTCTGAGGTGCTCAGCGAGCAATCTGTATGGGTTTTGTTTTAGGCTCAGGTAGTAGACCTTAAGTCTGACGTGCTCCAGAAACTGAGGTGTTTCTTCAGGAAAAAAATTCAAATTATTTGCTTTTAGACAAGCTAGTGTATTTGTACACGTCCCAGATTGCTTTGATCTGCCTAGGTTTCTGAAAACTGATATAAAAGGGGTAGAATGTGACATTTTATACAATAACCATGCACCTGTGATTCTTCATCTTAAGTAATAATGTCTCAACCGTGTCTTGTTATATACACACCGTGCAGATTTGTCTGATAAATGTCTGCATAATGGTAACCCTTCAGGTATAAGGGGAAGATGTGCTTTAATGTTCGGTCTTCCAGTTCCACTGTTGTGCAATCGATGTGGCCCAGAACCATGATTCTTCATCTGGCTTTTAGGCTACCGGCCATCCATAGCTCTAGCTGATCAAATACTGTTGCTGTGTTTTCGCATTTGCTGGTTGGCTACTGATTACAGCTGAAATGCATTCAGATCCATTTTGTAAAATCATGCTTCTGAAGCAGCAATTGCTTCTTGCTGTTTCTAATGTTTGTGCTCAGGAGGGTGCATGAGGCTGGGAGCAGGGAGGCTGTTCAGAAGACTGCCTCTGTGGGTTGTTTTCTTTTAAAAAACAAAACAACAAAACAAACAAAAAAAATCCTTAAATTGTTGCTCACCCAATTTTAAGTATTTTTCCAAAAGAAAATAAGTTAATGTCATGCAATACTGTAGAAGCAAACTATATATTTGTGTTTTCCTCTTCATAGCTGATTAGAACCCATAACTTATGTCATAAATGAAGTGAATAGACTGTTACTCCCGTAGCTGTGAAGTACCTCTAACTGTACCTCCCTACGAGTGAGGGGTTTCATGCAGTCATGCATTGTCCTTTGAAAATAGACAGAATACTTAGTTTCCAAATATGATGCAGATAATATACTTGGACTTGTTCTGGCTGTCAGCAAGCTGTCTTGGCCTCACTGTCTGTTGTTATTTTTATAACAGTTAAGGTATTGTGCCACTTTGTATTTTCTTTCTAAATTGCAGAATCTGCCTGGTTGAAATGAAGTGAAGCAGAAGGCCATGCCTAAGGAACAAAGAAAGTTGTCTTTGCTTTAATGTTTAAGCTAAGAAAACAGAAATAATAATTTAATTTGAATTAATGCTTCAATTTAGTCAATTATTATATGAAATAATAAGATGATTTTTTCCTTACCTTTCTCTTGCTCTCCTCTTCCTCCAGAATGATGAGCACAGGTTTTCATTTCAGATTTAGTGAAATGTTTTGGTATGGCTACTTACAATAACAGCAAGGGGAATAAAGACGTTGATTCACAAAGCTGCCAGAAAAGACTGGAAATAAGGAACCTGTTCTGACAAGGGCTCTTGCCGAACTTCAGGGGAACAAGGTTCAACCTCTTCCTCTCCTGTGGAGTGACTGTGGCTATCCAGTTTCCCAGGCATCCATGAATGCCTTTTGAACCAGGCACTGGGGTAAACTTGTGGTGGAATTATCCGAGTGCTCTGTGGGAAGACAGGTTCCAGTTGTTGCTCTGGTGGATGTTGCTGCTTCGGAAGCATGACATTACAAAATGGGTCTGTTTAGAAGGGGAAAAAAATAATGTAGCTCAGCGTAACAGTACATCCTCAAAAGTTTTGGACAGATGGTTTATATGGAGAAGTGACTGTTTGGAGAATAACAGCTGTTTAAAACAATGCTGAGTTTTATATTTGATGTAATGTCAACTGTCATGGAGAAAGAGAGCTTTTTGGGTTTGTTTTTTTTTAATGATGGTTTGGGCTTTTGTTTAGAGTGCAGCCTTCTGACAAAGCAGGGTTGCAGCTGAAGGTGTGGCTGGAGCATATGTTTCAGAGCCCTTGCCCTCCTCCGTGTTAGCAGAGAATGCCAACAAGAAGTAGGTGTGGGTGGGGAGCAAGTGGCCAGCCTCAGAATTGCTTCACCCTAACCAGGCTCCTATTGAAACGCTGCCAGCTGTTTGCCTCTGGTGTTCATCACTTGTGGCTTGTTGTGAACGCCATATTCTGTGATAAAGCCCACAGGAGGCTGTTTCCACTGAGTCTTCTGGGCTATCTGACTACTGCTTGCAGGAGGCAGGCAAGAGTATTGTGAGCCCCAGACCTCTCAGGACCTGTGAATTTCCTTGTGAAAAGCGGTGCTGCTCATTGCTTTTAACATCCCTATCCCATATTGAGCCATGACTCCCCAAGCAGCAGTGCTGCCATTAGCTTTAGATTGTGTAGTGCTGCAGAGAGCCTAGGATGCAGCTGTGTTATGCATGGAGAGCAATGGTGGATGATGGTGCAGCCTTGATGTGTCCACTGAGGTACAGATTGCCTTCATATGAGCAGGGAAGAGCGCTACCACCTTACTGTTTCAAGTGCCGTTGCTGTGCTCTTGCTGTCCTCCCACTTGGATTTCAGAGAAGATTGTGCTAGTTGTCAGCTTTCAGAAAGACCAGGGATCTCTCTACCACCCCTGTTAGCACATGGTTTCTTTCTGTGTCTTCCAAATAAATATGTGAACAACTTTTTTGTAGTATGTGAAGAGCTATATTTAACACTACTGAAATCTGTTCCACTTCTTCAGTAGCTGTATGAACTGTTAATTCAGTGTGTGTTTGACGTTCCTTAAGTTTTGCTCTCCTCTGGAAGATGAACTTGTTTTTTCCTCCCATTGAAAGACAGAGCTGCTCTGATTAAGTTGGCTTTTACTCTAAAACACATCAACACAAGGAGAGGAAATACATTTTGTTGTAGGCAGGATTTCTGTTTTGCCTCAAAAGTACAGAAGTAGCCATGCTTGCTGGAAAAGACTTGTTGACAAATCTGAGCAGAAAAACTCTGATAAATTTACTTCATCTTAGGGTTGCTGTAGTCAAGAACAGCCCTGTGAATTAAATGCTTCTGAATGTATTTTATGCTTTATTTAATGATGGGGGGTGTGTGTGGATTTACTGGGGGGGAGGGACGATGACCAAACCCAAACACTGTCAGTCTGTCCGCCCCCCCCAAAAAAAAAAAAAAACAAACCCCAAACCCAAGACACACAATCTAAAAGGAATGCCAGGTATATATCCCTTCCCTGCTGGCACTTTGCAGGGAAACATGGCATAGAGTAAGATATTACCTCAAAGAGGTGGAGCCACAGTTATGCCATGGATATGTGGAAAAAAATATCCAAAACTGACTGTTGCAAGGGGAGACCTTGATTCTGAAGTATGTCTTGTTGTGATGGAATTGATGTTTTTCAGTGCTAAAAGTGTTTTGTTTTCCAACTAGCGTTGGTTGTTAGCGCATAAAAGTGTTTTTCATAAACACTGGGTACAGAGAAGCCAAAGGATTTATTTGTTGATCCCTTAACAAATGACTTAACGTGACGAAGTTTACAAAGTTGCACTGCTTCCCCCTGCTGGAAACGGCTCTCTTCTTCTTGATGTCCTGGAGCACTTTCTTGCTTGCAGAAGCTTGTGGATTTACTGGTGAGTTGTTGAGATTCAAGCATATGGAGATAGAAGTCCTGTCTGGCTTAGCAGCCTTTTTTCCACTTTCTCATTGAAACCTTCCAATGAGAAACAAGATGTTGGTGCTTTAAGCTTTTCTGTGTTCTGTACAACGCCATCGAAGGTGCAGCTCCCTGTGTGGCTTTTAAAAGCACTGGTTTGGTTCACACACCCAACTCCCCCCAGTTCCAACCTGGGATCTAACTCAGTTGAAAATAAGGTTCACAAAATCTCAAGGTTAAGGATGTTGTATACATTTAATAGATGATGTATAAATTTAGTAGAACTTGGGAAGGGTAAATGTGTGGAGCTCACACAGTGAACAGGCTGATTTTTCCATGCGATTCTGTTCACAGGTGTGGTGGCTGTCCTCTTCTGTGGAATTACCCAGGCGCATTACACATACAATAATTTGTCAGTTGAATCAAGAAGTCGCACTAAGCAGGCAAGACTGTCTTTCACCTTTTGCACACTGTACTGCTGTAGTATTCTGCATACTGTTGTTTTTGAAAAGCAGCTTTATTGCTTGGCCATTAACATGTGACTGTTTTCTCCCTAGCTCTTTGAGGTATTGCACTTCCTGGCAGAGAACTTCATATTTTCTTATATGGGTTTGGCACTGTTTACTTTCCAGAAACACGTATTCAGCCCAGTTTTCATCATTGGAGCTTTCGTATCCTTTTTTGCTTTGTGTGAGGTTTCTCTATCTTACGTGCCTGAAAACTTGTGGTGTCTGTTGGCTTTACCAAATAGAAGATGGCGGCTGACCTGCGTTTCCCTTATGTCTTGCAGGCACAACAATTTTTAGAACAATCTTTGGTTACCCCTTACATCAAATCCTTAAGGCCTCTGTGCCACACAGTTGTTGGCTCTGCACCTGAGCAAGTGCTAGAAGTCATATAATTTCAACAGATAAATGAATGTGCTTTACTGTGTCACTTGGCTGCTGACAGCCAGCAGTGCTTGTGTTGCTTTTGTATTCGAACTTTGGGGGCCTAGAAAGGATTCATTTTTCTCTTCACTTCCAACGGTCCCTTGAAGAAAACAAACAAACTTCAAGTAAATAAAGAGGATCGTGGGCAAACAGGATATCTTTGAGTAATGCCCCAAAGGTAGAGGTCAGGTTCTCAGGTGATGGGAGGAGGAAGGAACTGAGCTGTGGTGCAGACCATGACATGAAGGGTACACACTGCTGAAAGGTGCTGGTGGTGGAGGTGGGTATCCAGTGCCCATTGTCCCTGGCTGACTTGGTACCTGGCTCTCGAATTCCCCAGAACTGAATACTTTTGTAGTAGTCACACTCATATAAGCTGGGAATCACTAGATTCCTCTCTGCACCCCACCCCTGTTGAAATAGCTTATGTACCTATTTCTTGACTGTGTTCCTGGCTGCTTGAAAATTCAGAGCAATTAAAAGTGTGCATGAAGCAATGGGAACTATTCTTCCAGTCTTGATTTCTCTCTGCCTGCCGCGGGAGTACAGGGCAATTGGCAATGAGATAAAACCCAGTGAAAGGACATATAAAGATGGCCTAATCCAGAACGTATTTCTTCTCTCTCCTCCTTTCCACTGTTTTCTCTCATCTCTGTACTGCTTCTAGGAATTTATCCCATTTGTCTTTATTTTCCTTTGGCCGTTTACTTTTTTTCTGAAACAGTAATAAATTTTCTCCTGTGTCTCCTCACATCCGTTCCTCTGACCTAAAAAATGCTCCCGAGCCCTGCAGCCATTGGATAATAGTTGCATTTGGTATACTAAGTGTTGTAATTTTTCATCTTTGCTGTGGCCTTCTGTCTTGTCTCAGGTTACGCTATCTGTCTTTGTTTTCAGTATTTATTTTGTTCCTTTCTCTTCCTACTGACCTACCTCTTATTACATTTTTCACATCTTTTTCTACCACTGCACTTAACCTCTGTTGCCTCTTGAGTGTTTTTCTACCTTTGTGAGGCGGACAGCTAGTACTAGCACCCACGTTTTGCCTCCACAGCTACTGTCCCCATTGACTTAACACCTTGCGGGAGCAAAATGTAGAGGTGTCATTAGCTGTTGAAAGAGAAAGGTTGGACTGCAAAGGCAGAGCTAAAGCCTCAGTGTCATTGACAAAATCATAGCCGTTATTCCTACGTACATTGGTCATGATGCCTTCTGATGTCTGATTTCTGCAGTCCTCAAAAGGACTGCTATAAAAGTTTGGAACAATAACTGGAACAATTACAAGTAATAATCAAAATCTTATTTTCTTAGAGACATAATTTCCTGCAGACAGTATTGCTTTACTTTAGCTATGACAACAACCCAGTGGTGTCTCGAGCTCTTACGTGGTTTTATTTCTTTTCCATAAGAGAGCTGTTTCATTCTTCTAATGTTGTTACCCCAGCAGCAAATGATCAGTGTTTTGGCGGGCTTTTGGTTGTGTTGGTGTTTTATAGGATTTCAACACATCACTCTAGTTTGTCCCAAAGTGTTCCTTAGATGGTGGAGGGTGTATTCAGCCTTCTGCTTCTTCACTGGAACCACTGGATGTTTTACACCACAGTAAGGGAGGGAAGGAGCTTAGCACCTACTGTCATGATTTTCTGCAATACTCTTTTACTACTCTTTTTCAACTTCATTCTAGTGCTGACAAGTGGTTTTTGGATTTATCATCTTAGTAACTCTGTACTCTTAAGTGCTTGCTAGCCAGCAGGAGATTTTGCCTCTGCAGGAGCCGTAATGGAGTGGCCACTTGCTGGTCTTATGTTGGTTTTCCTTCTAGACATAAGACTGCATTTCTGTTGGTCTGAAACACATAATCAAATGGTGGCGGTGATAGTTGTTTAAAGTGTGGGGTGTGAGTTTTTTTGGGTTTGGTTTTGTTTTGTTTTTTTAAGTAAAGTCTTCATTTTGACAACTGGTTATTTTAATACTAGGTATAATTTCACTGTGCATTAAAAAACTTGGTTATGTTAGTTAAAATTTGCATTCTGTACAATGAGTTCTGTGTGCACATAACTGGTGAAAGTCTTGTTATCTCTGTCTATATAAAACAGAACACTTGATATCATGATGTAAACTTCTCACTAAAACAGAAGCTTCATGTTAGAGCCAGGTACCCAAGAGTGCATACTTCAGGAAAGTGAAATCCTTAACCCTCAGCTGTGAACAGATTGCAATCTTTTTGGGCAGAGCTGCACACATCTACCCTCTCTCCTTCTTACTGAATCTGGGCAGAAGGCATAAGATCAGCTGGAACTTTCAGCACATGATGATGTTTTCAGGTAAAAGCAAAAATGTTTGGTAAAGTGAAAAATCTTATTTTTAAGATTTGCTTAACTCATAAGCAATTTATAATACTACCTTCTGCTTTTATAATCCACATCTGTGCATCCTGAATAGAAGACTTAATGGTTGTTGCGGCGTGCCATCATGTATCTTTCAACCTTTACAGAAAGTGTGTCATGTCTGGGAAGAGTGACAACTTGAAATGCCAGCTGCTGGCAGCAAGCAGTCACCTCATGTTGGGAACAGAGTATTTTCATTTGAAGTGTGTCTGAAGGGGATGGGGGAATTGGGATGTATCTCTTCCAGAAGGTTATTTCTAGCTGAGGTGATGTGCACGTTGTGCAGAAACAGATAACTGCTGAGAAAATCAGGGCGTATTTATGGGTGCCCTCTCCCACTTAGTTGGAGAAAGCAAGGTATTTGACTTAAACTCCCTTATGATTTCTGTCACACAGATAACTAAGTTTGTCATTAAATGACAAATCATGGAGTGTGTGTCTAAACATGTGCATCCTCAAGAAGTGCCAGGGATGCCTCTGTGCACAAAAGGGTGTAAAGAAGAGGGAGCCAGGCTATTTCCAGTGGTGCCCAGTGACAGGACCAGAGGCAGTGGGCACAAACTGAAACACAGGAGGTTCCCTCCGAACATGAGGAAACACTTTTTCTGTGTCCAAGCACTGGCACAGGTTGCCCAGAGAGGTTGTGGCATCTCCATCCTTAGAGATATTCAAAAGCCACCTGAACGTGGTCCTGGGCAACCTACTCCAGGTGACCCTGCTTGAGCAGGGGAGTTGGACCAGATGACCTCTAGAGGTCCCTTCCAACCTTCACCGTCCTGTGACTCTGACCCTACTAAAGAAGTCTGCAGATGGCCAAACAGCCATGGCTTGTCCTTGCTAATGGAGTTTCATAATCAGGGGCAGGGGAGGGGGGTGGAATATAGTCTGCCTGTGAACATGTTATTAACTAGAATATTTTTCCAGCTGCTAACAATTTCATATCAAGAACTCATGCTTCAGTTATGGAATCAACTGGAAAACTGTGCATTTTCATTTGGATTTAGGGAGCTGCTTGATTTCCGTAATATGTTTTGCTGTTGTTCACAACTTGTTTGTTTCTGCATTTCTTTCCTGTTAGTTTCTGGAAATATTTACACCTTTTCTTACCACTTGTGGATTCTATAAGGTACAGAAAACTACCAGGGCAAATTATGTTTTAAATCATCCCAGGGCATAATTTGTCAGGGAAACTGAGGGAATTAAAACTGGGAGGCCACTGCTTTCTGCCTGTCACTTTGTGCCTGTGTGGCAGGGAGGGAACAAGGAAAGAGGCTCTGTTTATAAGTAGGCGTGGTTGCGCTTCTGAAGCTCTGCTATTTTATTCTTTCGCATAGGTCTCAGGGGAGCCATGGCATTTGCTCTGGCTATACGAGATACTGCTACCTACTCACATCAGATGATGTTCTCAACAACTCTCCTCGTCGTCTTTTTCACTGTGTGGATTGTTGGTGGAGGTACAACTCCCATGCTGTCATGGCTGAACATCAGGTCAGTATGCAACTGTATGCTGGGGAAACTTCACTTTTCAAGTGGCAACTGTGCTCATCAGGCATAGTCTTACAGAACTTGTTTGATGCTTGCTAGAGGTGTTCTAGGTATTTAGAACATTATGTTTTACAGAGGAAGGTGCTAGTGCAGGCTGGTGAAGAAAATGTACTGATGCTGCTGGGATTCAATCTAAAGCTCTCTGTTGCTCTGCAAGTAGGTATCTAGGTCCTTGTCAGCCCAGTAGGATATGGAATAATGTTGCCTGATACAGCAGCCCCTATATTGAAAAGAAAGAATTAATCTATCTAGTCCTGTATAAACTTCTCTTCCTATTATACTAAGACATTTTCCTGTCTTTTGGCTCTTGTTATGTTTTTTAAGTTAAATGGAGTCTTTAGTGGGTGATGCTAAACTGAATGCACTTTAAACATCTATCCAAACAAACCTGATGTTATCTAAACAACTGGGATAAATGGGATCCTGCTAGTCTTCTGGGTGTGTTTCCTCCTGTTTTGAGGAGACCTGTGAAAATGGTAAGTAGCATGACTATAAACGTTTGTCTGTAAATCCTGGCCAATCCTTAGTACTTCCAGGCTGCAAGTACATTCATGTTTGAGGATTATCAACCGAAGTGCTAGAGTTGTGAATCAATCATTGTTAAAGACCACATATGTTGTTATTCTGTGAAAGTTTTGGCAGTTGCGGTGGCAAAGGTAAATAGAGTGGAATTAAAACAACACACGCTGTACAAACCCTTCAGTGCATTTTTCATATATGTTATTTGTGCTCTTTGGCACTTGAAAGCTTACAAGTCTTGTTTTCTAATTGTGCTAACCAGAATTTGTTTTTTCCTATCCTATCACAAGACAATGGGATACAATCTCAGGTAAAACCAGTTTCAATCTTTGGAAGAACCGATCATGCTTAGGGACTGGTGCTGCTTTTGGAAAACTTAAGTTCCAAAGTTAAGTGAACTGCTTGTGGCAATAGGTAGCAGGTGCTTTCCAGGTTGGGGGAAAAAAAAAATGTCTAGGACTCCCGGGAATGCTTGTGAACTCTCCTCATTGAAGGTAGCATGCTTCCAGCCAGAGACAGGCATTACAGCAGTGATTTACAGTATCTCAGCTCTGACTAACAGCAAACGTTGGGAAATCACGGTTTTCTTTTTTTGGTGCAAAATTAATTGATTTCTGTCCTTTAAAACTGACTTTAAATGCAAGTTCCAGATGTTTGGCTAGCACACCAGAAATAAGTATCGCTTCATGTAGTCAGGCTCTCTGAAGGTCATGTTGCTAACAACAGGTAATGCAACGCCTGGTGTGAAGTCAAGGACAAAAACAATTCCAGTGCAGTTGTGTCATTAATGATCCGAGAGATACCACATCACAATGATATTTCTAAGCCCAGCCTGACTGGTTTCTGTTCCCACCTGAGAGCTGTATAACGACTTTAAGAAGGTACCTGGAATAGATGCCATGCGCAGCTTTCCATCTGGCACCTCTGACAACAGAAGGAGACTTCTGTCTGATGGTGGTATGTAAGGACCAACTGTACTAATACACCTCTGCAAGCAGGACAGGCACAGTGTCTGCATAACTGGCAGTGTGCATAGACTGTCCGAGGCATGGGGTACAAGGGAGCAGGAGATGAGTTCTGGCTGGCAGTACGCAGGTAAGAACGCTGCTTGCAGTCTGCTTGCAACGGCTGAGCAAGGTCTGCCAAGATCTGCCTGCAGCCTCTGAGATGGCTGATGTGAGGACATCCCTCCACTTGAGTGGATTCCAAAGCATCTTCTGAAGCATGGCTGCAACCGGGTCAACAAAACGGACTCTAACAGCTCTCATCAGAGGTGCTGGCATCCTGAGCCTTCTGCCCTGCTGCTTGCACCTCTCTTGTTGAGGGAGCAGAGCTGGGTATTTCCTTCAAAGCTTGTCATCCAGCAAGGGACAGGATGCGCTGCTGAACAACTAAGTGAAGAGGAATTGTGTTCAGTCTACCTGTATCAGAAGTCAGCTTCTGAGTCAGCTCCTTCAGTCGTCAGCAGGAGGACAGGACTGAATTCTAGCGTGTGGCCCAACTCCTGGCCAACTGGAAACTAGTTCTGAGGCAGCAGCTTTTTTCTGCTTTTTTCTGCTTTTTTCTTCTTTTTTTTCTTCTTTTTCCTCCTCCCCATCGAACCTAGGAAGCAGTTTGTGGAAGCATCCTGGTTCAGTAATGAGGCTCCATGAGCCTGGCTGATGAGTTGCTCCTGAAGGGAAAAAGGGCTAACACCGTATCCATTCCAGGCTTGCCCTTCAGGTAGGCTATACCTGCAAAAATCATTAATGTGGCCAACAAGGCAGAACAGCTGGAAAGGCTACGATACCATTCCTAGAGGAGCAGCTGCCAAAAGGCATGGCCGAACCATAGTTTTGAATGTTTAGCTGTAGTTTTTTGGGAGATTTACCCACCCTTGCTAGTAAGCAGTAATTTTAACTGTCATTTGTTTGGCATGTTGACAGAAAATAAATGGTTAACTTCCCTATTAAGGGAAGGATATCATGTAAACATGGGAACGCTACATAGGAAGTATTTTAGAGAACTGCATGGATCTACCTACAGTTGCCTTGATAGGCCCTGCTCTAGTAACGATGGAGACTGCACTTTCTGAAACCACATGAAATCAGATTTGTGCCAGGAGGTGGCAGCCGTGTGCAGCTGATTGAGAATTGGAAACGGTGCTGGTAAAGTACCCTCTGTGATAGAGCCCTTTCTGCTGGAAAGCAAGAAGTCATAGAATTATTAAGGTTGGAAAAGACCTCTAAGATCATCCTGTCTGACCTTACAGATTTAAGAAAGGGACAAATTAGTTTCCAGCTGAATTTCAGAAATATGCTGCTTTTCTCTTTTCCATCCCTTTCTACCCAGTGGAAGAGGTAGGTAGGAGGAGATGAAGACGAGATGCTGTCCCAGTGCCTCCCTCAGCAGCACAGTGTATAGTGCTGATGCAGTCCTGAGGCTGTGCAGTAGGTAACTTGTCCCTGGGGTGGCCTGGGATGCTTTCTGAGCCTTGGCACTTGCCCGTTAGGTTAGATTGCAAGAGGCTGGAAATAACTAGTGCTCCCATACAGGATTATTTAGCAGAAAAGAGCTTAAAAGATAAAAGGTGGTTTGCTTCCTAGATTAAGTGAAGGGACACAGGAAACTAACGCCATTTGTGTGTTGGACTTAAATGTCAGGATTTGTGCGGACTCCTAGAAGTCCAGCCCTGGTGTGAAGTTCACACCAGCTGCATCCTGGTTGACTTTGGCCTTTGTGGAAGGAAAGATGGAAAGCCAGTCAGCCATTACAAAGTCCTCATGAAGCAGTCGGCCTTGCTGCAGTGTGGAGATAAGGAGAAGACAAGGGCCTGCTTTAATGAAGAGTCGGCCAAGCTGACTGACCCTTTAGGCTGGTTTAGCTTGCCTGGTCATCGTGTGGCAGAGTGGCATTACTGTAATCCTGTGGGTACTGGTCTGCCCATCAGTGGGGTTTTTGGGTGGTCCCTTCAATAGTTCCTGTGCGCTGATGGGCTGAGCTTATTCCTTAGGAACTGCAGGCACATGTCTGTTGTACTGGGAAAGTCAGAGGAGCTAAGACAGACGTCAAACACCAAAGGGTCTTACTTAAGGTTGTGCCTGCACAATTTAAGTAGAACAGTATGAGAGGGCTGACTCCAGCCAAGACTTTCAGCCTGGCTTGATACTACATTCACGGGGAGACAGTTGCGTGCAAGCATGGTGCAATGCCTACACAAGGATCCAGAATTGCTTTGCTGGGGCTCGGAGGCAGAGGCCCATGCCTCTGGCCGCACCATTAATTGCATAGCAATTGGGATGCATGCTTTGTTCTTTACTTCTGGTGGTCCCTTCTCTCCCATGATGTGAAATGTATTAAAAGTAGGTGAGGGATGGAGAGGCTAACATGAAAATTAAGTTTTAGTAAAGTAAAAAGCAGTATAAGGAGGAAAATAGGCAAAAAATGCCCTCTGCCTCCCCTTGCTCTGTTCTGAATGTCTCAGGTAATCAGAAGAGCAGGTATCTTTCCAGATAGGATATGTTACCTGTGTACCAGGGTCCACTAATCAGGCTTAAATGTACAGCTAAGCAGAGGACCTATGCTTTGTAGCAGAGACTTAACTTTAGTTTACTGCTTAACTGGTTGGGAAAGTGAGGTCATGACAGCAAAATCTGAGTAAAAAATAATGGGATCTTTAGATGCTTTTGGTTCCTGCCACTTGATGCTAAGCAAGTTAAAAATTAACACCAGAAACTGGAGTTAAAGCCATGATGTCATGTGTTTGAATTTCTTGGCTGTCTATCAGTGAGACGTATCCAAGCATGTGAGTGGTAAACAGTTATACTTTTCTAGCAGTAGATTATTTTTTTCTTAGAAACTAAAGCATGACTTGGATATTAAAAATATAGTCTCATCCTTTGAGACTAAAACAAAGAAACGATTTCCTGCCTGAGGTTGTAACAATTTCAGCAAACTCGAGAGCCCTGTAAATCAAAACCACTGGCAAAGTTCCTCTTTTCAGAAAAGTAGCTGACTTATCATTTCATTTATCTGTCACAGGAAAAAAGGAACTCCTAGCATTTCTATTGCAAAATAATGTTTTTTCCATTAGAGGTTATTGACCTGGTTCTTTTCATGTTGAATGAAGCAACATGCAGATTAATACCTTCCTCTCCTTCATAATCTGCTTCAAATGAGGAAGTTCGTGTTTATTTTAATGAAGTAATTTCAGTTATACTTAGCAACCTTTTTCTAAATCTTAAAGCATTGTATCTTTCAATTTAAAATATTTTAGGGAACTTTCTACCAAAAAGTTGAAGATTGTACAGACAATATCAACTTAGATATTTACTGCCTTATGTCTGACTTGTCAAATACAATTTTTTTAAGAGCTTTCTATTTAGTGATTTTTTTTTTTTTCTTTAAATGAGCAAACTGAAAAAGAAATATGGAAACACTGACTCTCACGTAGCTGCTATGTGAACTACCTCACTATCTGGGACGGTGGTAAAACTGACAGCTTGGTGGCAGTCTCAGGTTATACTCTATTGTCTTACACAGGGTGGTCCAACAATAAAATGTGCATTTCTTAAATACCATGCCTCAGTGTGCTGCGATAGCAGGAGGGGAGTGGTGGTGCTGGGATCCAGCCTTGTGTTATGTTCCAGACTGGAGTGGGGGATGTCTGCTAGGAGGTTACGTCCTTCTGTTCTGCAGCCTGTTTCCATTATTCTACAACTCGGATCCTTCACTTCACTGCCTTCTAGCTGCCCTCTGCTGCCCTTGAAGGGCAGATGCACAGACACAGGTGCTGTCCCTTGCCCTCTGTTGTGGGCTTTTTCCTTTCACCGTATCTTTTTCTGTACTGTTTTAAAAAACCCTACCTAGTTTCTCCCATCTTCCTCCTTCTTTCCCAATATCTACTGTCTCATCATCAATCTTGAATCTTTCTTAATGGAGGTGCAGTGCAGCCTCCGAACCTCTAGTCTTACCCCTCTGAGTTTTTCCCTTGGTAGGAAAGAGATTGCCTCCTCTTTCAGATGTCTGGAAGTAAGCATGGGAGATGCTTCCTTATCTCTGTTCTTGTGCTCTGAAACACAGCAATTCACACCAGAGAGAAAGTGTGGGGAAGGCCCCTACCCTGTAGGGGCTGGGTTGAGGTGAGAGCATATGGGTGATACAGGTTTAACTGCCAAGCTCTGGCAAGCCTCAGCAGGCAGTTTCAGGAGTCATTATCTTGGTTAGGTCAAGTAAAGGAATACCCAAAGGCACCCTAAAACCAACCTGAAACAACTTTTCCTAATTCCAGGGGATTTTTAGTGATTGGGGGTTTTTTTGGTTGTTTTGTTTTGTTTTTTAAAACATGGTGGTTGGAATTATCTTCTTCCTCAGCCATCTTCTGAGAAACAGTTGAACTCTTCCAAAATAGCTAAAATTTTCCAAATATGCTGCACTCATTATAGACATCTGGGAAAACTTCAGTATACTAACTTGGCAAAGATACAGCAAAGAGAAAGAAGTCATAGATGGGAAGTTAATGAGCAGTTTTTAATTTTAGTTTTTGCTGCATATGCAGAGCCGTCTCAGTGTTGGCCTTTCAGAACAGAGTGCTCTGACTTGGAGTGTATGTCGGTATGGGAGAAGAGCTATTGAACCATGAATCCAAAACAAATCTATCCAAAGTCTGGTATTTGCCTCAGCCTTCAAGGATTAGATGAGTACAGTATGATTAGATGAGAGCATGCTCTTCGTAGTGCAAGCTATGGCCTTAAATATTTGGTTCGTCAAGATGTGAGCCTGCAATCAGGATGTGTACACCTGCTCTTTATAAAGTGAGGCCTCTGTGGATGTCCGATCCTCTGGGCTTTTATTTCACATAAGCAATATATAATTCATGTAGCATGCCTTCATGGAAAAACAGGGGAAAAAAAACCCACAGGCTGCTAAGGAATTTGCACGGAAAGTACCAGAAACCAAACATGCTTTCACTTGTGGTTTTCATTTTTTAAATACAATTGAAAAAGGCAAAGCAAGGAGTAAAAGCACACTCTGCTATGACTGGAGGTTTATCATGTTGAAGATTGTTAGTTAAACCAGCTGAGTGATTTAGTGTGTGTTACCAGTTGTGTTGGACTGCTCTGGAACTAGGCGGTAGTGATGGCCTCTGTCATGACTTTCTCTAATGACTTTTTCTCTTTTAGACCACGTGCAGGTCTGAAGTGGTAGAAATTGTCTTAGATTGGCTCTGTCTCTGTGTAGCAGCTCTCTTGAGAGCTGTTGAATTTAATTTTCTGGGGGAGGTAGCCTGTCACGAATACAGGTGTTTTGCCAGCCTGAATCTGAAGGAATGAAGAATATTACTGGACATCTCAATCATAAAGTGCTGCTGTTGTTAATTTTTATTTTATTTTTGTCATTTTGTCATTGTTCTGCCATTCTTATTGTTGTATACTTTGTCTTTTTTGATTGGTTAGGGGGTTTTGTTGGTTTATTTTGTTTTGCTAGGGAGCTCTGTAAAGCTACCATCTCATGAGCATTTTGTTACTCACATTGCATTCTTGTACTGTACCAGAGTTGGTGACCGTGTTCCGTCGGTGGAAGAGATGAGTGAAAGCCGCTGGCTGTATTTCAGGTGACACTGTGCTTTCCTTTATACCAAATTAACCTGGTGCTTGGCTTTCTTCATCTTGATAACACTAAGTGTGTGCTCTTTTTCTATACTATGGCATGCTGCTGCTGCTTCTCCTTTTCTGCAGAGTGCCGTAGATGTTCCTCAATTCTGAGTCTGTTCTCCTGAGCTGGGAGAGTGTGGATCACACATTGTGTCTTTAGCTTAAAAAAACAAACAAACAAAAAACACAAAACACCACATCCTTTAACTCTTGTGTATGGGTAATTAATGAAGCAAAATTAGTGTCTTTGTCCTGGGAAGACTTGAAAGCTGATAAATCATGGATGCAATCCTATGATCCTTAATCACACAGGTATTCTTAAGTATTCATTGGGGTAATTTCATACAACTGCTCAGGTTGGAAGGGACTTCATGGTGATTTAGCCCAGCCTCTTTGGGGATGTATTTTAAAAACTAAGGGTTATCACGTTGCTTTATAGGAAGATGCTAATAAGAGTGGAGATAAACCAATCTTAGTCTTCTCCAGTTGATGGTTTCTAGAACTGATACAAGGATAGAGAAAGAAGGGGGGAAAAAAAAAATCTGTAACTGGCAGCTATAGGAGAGTGTGTATTTGTATGCACGTGTGTGCGTGTGTATAAATATATACAGAATATGTATATAAAGAAAACTTTTTGGGGTGGGGCAATGGTAAGTTTTTCATGTATCCTGTCACACTTGTAGGTTCCCAGCCAACTACTAAATTTGCCAGAGGTACAGTATGTTAGCTTGTACAGAGAATTTGAGAACTATTATCTATTAATATGTATTATCTATTACAGTCAGTCTTGGCTGTTGCTACACTTAATTACATATGCTAGAATGTAATAAAGCCTGGTATTTTGATAACTTGTCATCTGTGTTGCAGGGCCTTGGAAAGATTTTTGAAGTATCAGAAGTGGTTCCACCCATTTTAAAATGACATAGTGGAGAACTTGAAGTAGTTCTATCTGTTTTGGTTTTTTTACCATTCCTTTCCATACACTTAGTTTCCACTTTGCATTCCATGTTTTGTGTGTCAACCATTTTCTACCACACTGCTTAAATTACTGAATTATACATAGGCTTAGTTTTTGAGGGATTAAATCTGAGTAACTAGTCTCCTACATGTGATGCTGGAGTTCTAGCTGTAGAATAAGGACCAAGAAGGTCAGGAGTCAGTTAAGAGCAGAAATGCAGTGCTTTGCTATATTGGGTGTTAGGAGCTCAATGGTAGTCCCTTTGCTATTACAGAAAGCCTTTTATGCCTTAAAAACAAAAAGATATTTTAATTAGGGAGGAGTGAAGAACTGTACTTAAATTGGATTTTTACTGTAGCATACTTTTGTCTGCAGATTCCAGTATAAACTTCCCAAGGCAGAAATAAAGATGGCTGAACTTTATGTACTAGTAAATGTCTGTACTGAAGTATTAAGGTATCTATCAAATACCGAATTGATGCCAATGGGGGAAATAGAGGGATTTTTTCATCAGTTTTGGGATATATATGCATTGTTACAGCTGAAAGACTGCTCGTTATCTTCATCTGACATCTGCTTTTTCAGAGTGAGTTACTTGAATTGCTACTGTACACCCTCAGGGAATCCACACACAACTGCTGCAGTGGGCTTTCAGAAAGGGTGGAGAGGAAAACAAAGATGCCTGCTGGCATCTGCACTGCCCTGGCTTTGGCTGTCCTGCAGCCGACGTGCCCCCCAGTCCTCATCACGCAGTCTGTGCCTTTTCAGCAAAGCACTGTTTGCAACCAGAGCTTGCTTGCTCGCCTGCCTTTCTGCTAGGGGGTTTGAGCAGAACACCACAGTCATTAGCAAGGCTGCACTCTCTGTGCCCCTGATCTCTGAGAGGGGATCTGCATAAATCAATCCAGTAACAATTTTTCTTAATTTAAAAACCAATTAAATAAATGAGAACTGATATTGGCCTTTACAGCACATTTAAATTATGGGAAGCTTTTTAAATGTACTTAAGGATGTGAGATGGATTTTTTTTCTTTTAACCACCAGGAAAAAATTATGTTGAAGACATACATGCATCAGCTTTACTTGTACTTTTAATTATGGAAGTAAAGTAAGGATGAAGTAACTAAATGTTTTCTGTGCTTCTCTTCACTGTAAAGGAGGTTCGGAGGGACTTGACTGGTTTTTGGTATTGTTTTGTTTCAGGTGATAAAGATGAGGCTTTCTCAGAAATTTGGGGGCAGGGCCTGCAAAAATGTGATGCTTGTCATGAGAGCAGGGTGTATATACCTTGAAAGTTAAACAGGCAGACTTGCTACAAAAAAATAAAGCTTCCTATACAATTCATGCTAGAGTAGAGGATAAGAGACACAGTATGCTGGTTGAAAGGTACAAAAAGTAGTCATGGGAATTACTATGTGATGTGCTATGACTTTTCACTGAAGAGTATGGCCATCCTGCTTTGGTCCTCCACTAAGCCCCCTTCCCCTGTGTAAGGGCAGTTAAAATTCCGAAAACAAATGCACAACCTTGTAAGTCAAGTAAAAGCTGAGACATTCTGAATTGTTTGGTTTTCTTATGTACTGTGAAGTGAATGGGTAGCCCAATGAGTTAAAACTATTTAGGGAATGCAAGCTATGTTCATCTTCTGGAATGAGCTTCTTGAACTCCCTGTTCATATTGCCAGCTGCACGGCTAACATAAGCGTGGTTGCTGTGCATCGTGCGTTGAACCTCCCCAATGTGCAGCTGGAGTTTGGAAAGCCACAAATCTTTTTCTTTTATTCTTATGTGTCCTTATAAAGGAATGTGCAATCTTATATATATTGCCATACTGAGTGGGTTTCCTGATGTTGCTTGTCAGCCTTTTGCGTGAGGCTTCATTAGGTAGCTCGTTCGTGTGCAGAAAACCCTTCTTAGGTCTTCACTGCTTAGTAATAGCCTAAGCAGTAACATCTAAGCCCTTGTAACCTTTCAGAGCTCTTGTGTGTGGCATTTTATTTTAGCATGTGTAACAATCCAGTACCTAACTGTCTGCCCAGTATTCCCTTAAACTAGTGAAGCTTTTTAGTCTGGAGGCTGGTCAGTGCCAATGAATTCCCAGGCCAAATGTGCCTAAGGGTTAAGATGACTCTGTATGTGGAAAAAGGCTGTGATGAGGAAAGGAAAGACTCAGGAAGAAATCCAAGCAGAGGACTGGGTCAGCACTAGCTCTATATGAGGCTGCTGCAGGCTGTCTTAGAGTGGCCTTCTGGATTTTCCCTGAACTACATTGTCATGTGAGGTCTTGGATTGGCCGTGAGTCCACAAGGATGACTTAAAACTTTAGTTCAATGCCTACTTTTCTTCTTCTGTTGTTCTATTAGAAAGTGCTGCCCTGGAAGTTATTTGAAGGTGTTCCCTTTTAGTTTAATCCATGCTATCTTCTGTGCCTGAAGGTAAATCATGTCTGGATCACTACTTGCCTTATGCAAGTACATGTCCCTGGGACACACAAATGATGTGGTCTTACCAGCAAGGTTCTGTTGGTTTCTGGTGATCCTCAGGTATGTTGTATAAACACCGTGGCTAGAAATAGCTGACACAAAGTCTAGGTAACAAAGAAATTGCACTAAGCCAGCTCAGTCCCTTCCAAGAGAGGGGAAAGGAAGAAGTTAGCCGTTTCAGACAATATGTTTTTGTTACTGCGTGCATTTTCCTACACTTACTATGCAACATGGTAGGACTGAAACACAACATGTTTGAGACTGACAGTCTTACCTGACAATCTTACCTAACATTTGCGGTTGAAGGTCTAGGTTCTACAAGAGAGCACAGAGATTAAGGCATGAATAGGATTTAAAACGAGACAAGTCTAATCTTAACAAATAGCTACCCCCAAAACAGACCAGAAGAACGTGAACATAATTACAAGGATTAAATACCCATCTTGGATAGGAGCACTATGTGAAAGGACGGTTCAGTAACAAGATGCTCGCTAACTATGCAAAAGCGAGTAGACAGTTCCTTATTAACATATTATTCTGTAATCATCCACCATCTCGTTATACAGACCCTCCCTCACTCAGGTGGGAGGCTGGACTAGACAGACCTCTTGTTAATCCACTGTGGCTGTGTTGTGTTTGGTAAACGAAACTTGCAGCAAATTAATGAGTCTTTATAAAGTATTTTTGTTGCTTCACACTGCATTAAAATTTGGTGTGTGTGTGTGCTTTTTTTAAATCGTATATTTGAGCCATTCTCAGGCCTATCTGGCAGCTAAGTTATTTGCTGTGTCAAAGATTTAGGCTGGGTTTATCCTTAATCTCTGGTTTCTTGCTGCTGGATGTGAGGGATGTCCTCCACTGAAGAGGATGCCACCCACAGTTCACCTTTTAAGCCAAAAATAGTGTTTGCCAGTATCCTAAAAGAATTGGCAACAAAGGTAAGTAGTTAAAGTTGATGCTGAGATGGAGTTAAGCTGTTATCTACAGGTAGTTGCTGCTTGAGTGAAAAAGTATCTTGTTTATAGCTATGTAACTGCAGGGGAATAATGGACAGCTCTTCCTCAAACTATTCTTATAACCCCTCTGAATGCAGCTTTGCTAGGTGCTTAAAGTGCTTTTAAAATGCATTCTGCCAAACTTACAGCATTTGCAACCCTCAGTAACACCACTTGCTTTGTTTTCTTAATGTTTCTGTAGGGTTGGGGTTGACCCAGATCAGGATCCTCCACCTACTAATGACAGCTTTCAAGTCTTACAAGGAGTAAGTAATTACATAACTTCTCTATTAGGCCGATCTTATTTTATAACTGAGACGATAAAGAACTGCAGAAGCTATGTGCATGGATAAAACCTTTCTCTCCTAGCTGGCAATTCAGTAACGCATTTTACTTTGTTTTTCAGTGGGCATTACTTGAATATTATATTCTGTGGTGTTGGGTGTAATGCTGCAGCATTCAAATTTTTGTGTATACATATATATATATAAAAGGCATCAAAACCCTTCCTAAATCTACTAATACACTCTATTTAACAACGTGCTTTCCTCTTCCCCCACCCACCCAACATGCTTGCTTTTAACATGCTACAGCATAAACAGTCCTCCCCAAGACTGACCCAGGGATAACCCTCTTGGCTTCTGTTCAATAATTCATACCAAATTTTGGTCCTTGGACTTGCTTAGAATCAAAGATTAAATTCGCTAGTCTGATCTCAGCTCCTGTATACCGTACCGCAAGCCAGCTGGATCTTGCCTGTACTACCTACCACCTGTATGAGGCAAAAGGCGCACTGGAAAATTGTCATTTATATTCAGCAAACTGTTGCTGTGAATCTTTAGTGCAGCTTTCTATGTATCAGTAACAACCCGAGAATAGACTTTTTTTCCCTGCAATATGCTATTGGCAAACGAGACTATCTAAAAAATGTTGTTCATAGTAGAAATTTCAATTTTCCTCATCTGTAAACTGAGTGAATTCACAGGAGGAGTGAAAGGTCTGGAAAAAAACAAACCACCCAACAGTTCCTGAGGCTTAACTGGGAGCTTCCTCTGTCCAGACCTTAGTTTACACTCTCCCAGAGTACTGCTTGACACTAATTGTCCAGTAGCACAACTGGTTGCTTACGTAGGAACCTGCTAGAGGAAGTTGAATGGCAGGAAAGGCGGATGACTTTGGACCCAGAGGATGCATAGGGTGCAAGAGTGTGAACTCTGCTTCGTAAACCTCAGGTTGTATGATGCTGGTGTTCACACTGGTCACAGATACATGCATGGGATACTCGCTGTATTTGGGATCAGCTTTCTTATGAGTGGTTTCTCCTGCCTTGTCTTTTTTTTTTGTCACAGGTTGTACAGATAAGAGTTACTTGCTCAGGAAGTATCTCTTCCATTGCAGAAACTGCATTAGGCATCTCTGTGTTCTTTGTAGAAGCCTGTGTCCAGCACACAAAATAGATTCTGAAATGGTGGGTTTGAGTGCCAAAAATGGTGAACTTGCTTTTGTAGCTATCTGGAAGCAACTAGAAGGCCAGCCCTTAAAACACCTTCTACAATGAGGCCGCAGTTATGGCATAAAACCAAGGTTAGGAAGTGGTATCGTGGTAAGATGGCTTTGGCCAGTTCAGACTGAGCTTGTCAGTATTTGAGGAATTGCTTTAACATGAAAAGAGCATGGGTATTCTGTTCTCATTCAGTGTCTGGGTGGAAATAACTTGTTTGCCTTTTTCCCATGTAAACATAGAGCACTTACCCGTTTGTTTCCCTCTTTAGCTGTGCATTGCATTCCTGATGGACTCCATTAGTCAGTTCCCTTTGGATTCCTCTTTCACCAAGCCAGGATTAGCAGCATGTCACAGTTAAAGAAAATATATCATTTGGGAGTGAAAATGTACTAAGCTTTAACTCTTGGTAGATCATGGATTTTTTGCAGATCAGAAGTACACAGGACAATCCCGTCTTGTTCTTTTCTAGTAGTTTGGAAGATGATTCATACAAGGCGTTCTCACTTCAACTGTTTTCCTGCACTTAACTTTGGCCTCCAGCCAAAAAAAACCCAAAAAACCCAACCCAACCCAAAACAGTAACAAAAGTAAAAACAAATGCAGCTGCAGACCAGCTGGTGTGATGACTTGCAGTACAGCTAGTAAAGGGATTATATTTAACACTATTAGCAGTGTTAGATATATCTGAGCTTGATCTAGCACTTACGAAATTTGCGTGACCTTCCTCAACTGTGATTTTATATGGATTCCCTGTTAAGCATTTTCTTTTAAGCGTCATATTTTTCATCAGGTTTGCGAGAGTTTGTCAGGTATGGTAAATTCCCTTATTCTTCCAAGGAAGCAGTAGGCTTAAAGAAAGAACATCAAATAGACCTAGCATTAAGGAAGCCAACCCAACAATGAATAGGGATCAGTCTGGATTATTCCAGTTCATTTATTTGGGGAGGAAGGTGGGGATGGGACATCAGTGAGGCTTATTTGTCAGTTTTGGACTTATTTCTGTATCCATTACTGCATTAACCGTGCAATAAGCTTTTAGACTCAAGGAAACTTGGTGGTAGAGGGCTCATTAAGGTAACTTGAGGGTAATGAAGAGGGCCTACTTCTTCTCTGCAGTAATTTCTGGTCTTTCTAAGGAAAGTAACCTTCTCAATATAAGCATGTCTCTAAATAGCTTTCTTCTGCAGTCTAAGTACAATATTGAAGTAATTTGGCTTTTTTGCACAGGACATTGTAAAATGAATGATTGGAATGTATGATTTGGGTTTTTTCTGCCTGAAATAATTGAATATGTTTTTATCTTATTTTTAGGATGGCCCAGATTCTGAAAGAAGGAACAGGACAAAGCAGGAAAGTGCTTGGCTCTTCAGACTATGGTATAGCTTTGACCATAAGTATCCTTTTGAAAACACAACTTAGCTTCAAGGCATGAAATATTCACTTTTTTCCTTTCCATGTACCCATATGTAGCCTTAAGCACTTGAGAGTGTCAAACAGGAGAAAGATCAAATATTTGACAGGTTCAAGGCACAGAACTGAAGCTTGAACTTGCTGACTCAGAAGACAGACCTTTCCTTTCCTTAATGCATGGTATGTTATACTCGCTGGAGGACAGAAACAAGTCAGTTTTAGGAGCTGAAGTTCCTTCCTAAACAGTAAGACAACGAATTAACTATTTCAGATCCTCTGATTTATTCCATTAATCTGTTCTCATCTTCACTGATGCCTATAGTACAAACTAGTTTTCCAGTTCATTGTACATGTCTAAGCCCCCACTTATTGCTCTGAAGAGCCATCTGCTTTTGTGATGAAGTCCTCTTTGGAAACCCATCGCTGATACGGGAAGTTCTGGAACTAAAAATCTACATGTGATCCAGCTTATTCCCTTCAGTATATCCAGAACTTCCTATGAGTGTTAAAGCAGAGAGTGTCCTTGTGTGTATGTAGTACTGTACAACCTTTCTGAAGCTATTATTATACTATTTAGATAGCCTTGTTTAAGCTTCTGAGCAATTTTTGTGTAGCTGTCCTGTCTTTCCCACTTGTGTCTCTTTTTTTTTTAATCTACTTAGCATATTCTTAATCAGTATATCATACAGGTGCCCCTCCTTAACAGCTTATACTGACTTAGTGGAAAATGGCAAAGATAATCTTGTGGCCATGGCAAGTCACTTATACCCAGAAATTCAAAGAAGTTTCAGTTCTTGATTCCTAGTAATTTCTGGGGCAGTTAAATATATGTAAAAAACTGTGACAGGGCCTTAATCTTGTTGCAGCTTGCATCTGAGAAGTGAGTGTTTTGCTGGGGTCTTGGCCATTGGTTGATGAGAGATTGCTGGCCTGGCTAGAGCACAGTAATTTCCTTCCATGCCTTGTGCATCAAGATTTCCCACCCAGGGAAACCCAGGTATAGCGCTGAAAGCATTCAGGTCCTAATAGCACTTGCCTGTTCAGGATAAGATCTGTTTGTGACTGATGCGTTCAGATGCAGTGGTATTGGGTCAAAGCCCAGAAGGGAGTGTATGTGCTAGTTTAAATACTCATAAAAGTTAGTAATTTCAAGTTAACCCTTTGAGCTTTAGTGGCTGGTGTCAGTGTATTGAAAAAAAGACTTCTGCAGTAAGACCACGGAAGGATCTGGCTGTGGCTGACTGCTGCTTTTTTGTCCTTTTAAGAAGGAAGCAGAGCTATCCTCTTCCCCTGCCTTTACAAAAGGGATGTCCCCAATGAGAAAAGGAGTCGTTGGCAATGCTGACTTCCCCTCAGCTGATGCTAGCACAAGTGCAGTCCCTAGCAGCTGCAGCAAGGGCTGGGGGAGTGCTAGGTGAAAATTACAGCTTAATTAGCTGTTTTGCAGAAACTTAAAGGGTGCTGGTAGTGCACTTGCTTTTTCAGTGGTGACTAGCAATCTTTAGGGAAGGTTTCTGTGAAGTTTGTGCCAAGGAAACTGATATCCGGAGGCAGAACTGTCTTACTGTATCTTAGAGGTAAAATTCTGCTCCTTCCGATGCAAGGAGGCATTCAGATAAACATCGGCTGGGTGGGCTTAAATTGCGTGGAAGGGATGATCTTTAGAATTGCCACCTCTATACCCATGGCTAAATGTCAAAATATTTTTTGCTGATGCATTCACTTGGTTTGTGGGTAGAAAGGCAGATTGTCTCAAAATTCACTCTTTGCAAGGGAACTTAACTTGAAAAAGATGCGAGTAAGATGCACTTGGCAGTGTGCTCCAACGCTGGCTATTGCCTGCAGAGCTCTGTGTGGATGGATAACTGGGAACTTCATTCCTGTGGAACGCAGAGTTCATTTAATGTCATGGGCTGTTCCCTGGGTTCACCCACAATTGTTAAATACGAAGAAAACTGCAACTTTGAGGAAGTACCAGATGTCTTTTACTGGGGTTGTTTTATTATGACTGAGTCACTGTGTGCCTGTCTGCTACAGGGCAATGCAGGGGCTGGTAGGTTAGTGTAAGCGGGAAGAGTTTATTTCTTTCCAGGACTGGGTGTAGCCACACTGTTACTGGGGGAGGGAAGGAGGAAATATAACTCTGCAGTGGCATAATCGAGCCGTTATGTGCTCAAGTAAACAGGCTCTGCTAAAGGGGAGGGATACATCTCTGCTAAAACAGCCCCTTTTTTTTAACCCCCTCTTTCCCCCAAGCACCTGATTTGTTGTGAGCATCAGGGAAACTGTTAATTTCACAAGTGGACTTGATTCTCTCTGTGCTTAGAGGCCTAAGAAAGTAACTTGAATAACAGCAATATATATTTACATTTAAAATAATCAGACTGACTTAAAACAAACAAACAAAAAAAACATTAAAAAAAAAACCTTCTGGTCCTGATTTCAGACAGTGTTTGGAAGTCTTAGCGCTTTCCTCCTGAGCTCTGCAGCATGCTGCTCTGTAGCAGGGACACCTTTTTTGACTCTTGAGCATTTTCTCAGGCATATCATCACTCTGGAGTACTAGCGTGAACAAATACGGATTTACCTGGGGGCAGACCTATGAGCAGAGGTGTAAAGACACCTTCCTTTCCCACCCCCGTGCCCTCTCAATGTAATCTAGGTAGCGTTGCCTGGGCAGATGCTTTCCTTCCATGCTGTGTTACGTGGTTCTTGCCATACAGCTTTTCCTTTGCCTTTCTGAGGCTCTATGTGGTACGTATATGTGCACTGCAGAGATGTCTTTGAGCCTTGCCAGAGTAAGATCTCTGGCTGCATCTCTGTGGCCAGTGACCAGCTAGCAGTGGACCAGTTCAGGTGGCTGCATTGCTTGGAGGGCGTTGGATGGGCAGTATTTCTTTATTTCGCTGTGTTGGGCCACATAGGTGTGTCACCTTGTTATCTCTAGCTTGCAATCTCAACACCATGCTCCCATCTGCAGAGCAGAAACACCCTTGGACCTATTAACATTAAAGCACTTGTACCTCTGCTTGCTCCTTTTGGCTCGAGAGAGCCCAAAACCTGGAAACGCTGCAACTGCTTGAAACTTTAAGAAAAGAGGTAGCTAGTTCCCCTTGCAGTAAATGTGTGGGTAAAGAAACTGACTTTAAAAGGATCAAGGGAAAAATGTTGGGGGGAGATGTTTTTCATTTATTTGTTTACAAATGCAGATTTTTTCCAATGGATGTTTTATATACAGTTATTGAGCAGCATATAGGTCGAAGGCAGAACCACATTTATGTACAATTGTTTTTTATTTTCAGTAGTGGTTTTCCAGCACTGATGTGTTTTCCTTAACTACTTAAGTTATTTAAAGCCAATTCTCACTCACAGTGGCCCTCCGTTAACCACAACTCTACCCAGCTGGTGTGGCCTGATAGCCCGCTGTCTGACAAGTCCCCAGGTTTATGATGTAAGTAGAATGACTCAATATTTTGTGTTTTATTTAACTTCAGCAAAGCAGGTTCTTTCTTTTTAGGCAAAAGGTTGGTATGATATGCGTACTGCGAGAAAGTGCTGGTTTGTCCCAGGCAGAAAAGATTTAAGATACTCTTCCCTGAGGCAACAGCTTCTGTTAGTAGAAATCAGAGATGATCTTATTGTTGAAATACTACATTAAAAAAAATAACATTTAAGGATATTGGAAAATTACAGGCCGAGTCAATAAACCAGTTCAGTGAATCACTTCAAAATATTCAGTCCCTTATCAGCACTTTTGGACAAGATTCTTTTCCTGTTACTGCTAAGGTTGCGTTGAGGTCTCCTTCAGAGAAGACACTGACACATTTACCCATGCTGGAAAGAAATCTGGTAGAGCTTCCCTTCATTGTTTCCACTGTGAAATTTGAGATCATATTTCAGAGACCGTTAATCACTTACTTAACTCAGTCTAGCAGGTCACTATACTGTCTTTACAGCCATGTCTTGCAATAATTAATGCTTCATTCTCCTATTACTCTTGCAGGATCCTGATACATGTCATTCCTATCTGTACAGTGCTTCTGAAATGTACAACTTTTTATGAGCTGCTTGTAAATAAAACCATAGTACTATGTGGGATCACTCAAATTTGCAGGTTCTCTGGAACGGTGACATCTCTGCTATGTTCGAGTAGTCTTGGACCAGATTTCTATTAATCTTTTCCTAGAGAGTTATGAATTCCACTTGCAACTTTGAAATACTTCCCTGCATTTCTTTCTGATATCACTAGCATTTTACTTTTACCTGACAGTAAAATTTTAAAGAAATTTGAAATGTCTGCTGCCTATTTGGAGCTATTAGTAATGCAAGAAATTGGCCTTGTTCCCATCTTTGCAATGCCACTGGAGATCTTAAAACAGATCTAGGCTGGAAGGCATCCATCAGACCAATTAGCCTACTTGTGTGTTGCCCATGTGTCTATCTATGTATGATCTTATAAGATTAGTTGTCCAGTAACTGAGGATCTAACCAGAATGAACATGCAAGCTTTGGCTTTCATTGTCTCTAACAGTTGGGCTCTTTTTTTTCTCTTTACTCCTCATTCTTAGCTACTACCACGTGTGGAAAATTATTCTTTAATTGGATTGGTTCTCTCTCTCTCTCTCTCTCTCTCTCTCTCTCTCTCTCTCTCTCAGTCTTAACTTCTTCATTAAAAATGCTTATAAGGCTGCATACTTTGTTAAGGTGTATAATGTGGAACTTTCACATTGTATTCTCTTTTCTTGTTCCTATTTCGGTGCATTGCTGCATTAGTCTTAGGAAAGACTATAATTTTGAGATTTTATTTCTAGCTTCTTTTCAAGATTTCCAAACTCTGCAGTTGCTTTATTACTGCTTTTCGTTTCTTTGCATGGCTGGCTGTGCTATAGCACTGTGACTGTACCATTTTATTACTGGCTAAAAAGCTGTGGAATCTTTTGCCTTCCTGTTAAGTGCAGGTGAAGCTACTGAGAGAGCCGTGTCTTTGGGGGGACAGAAACTGCTTGGAATAGCTGTGCTTTTGTGAGGTATTTCCAGGAAAATGGAATGGTACATCTGAGAGAATTAAAGACTATAGACTTTGAATTAAACACACAAAAAGTCTGTAAATACTCAACAGGATGTAACATAGCTGGAAAATATGTTTCAAAAAGTAGTAGTAAATCCTAGATCTCATTCAGTGCATGTCTGAGCAGTTATGACATCTACATAGAGAAGAAAGCGTACAAGTATGTGGCTGTATTGACTGTATATTTGTGTATTGTTTTCAGCTTTTGTTGGGTTTTTTCCCTGTGGCTTTATTACAACTTTATTTAGAATTCATTTTCGCTTCCGTGAGTGGCAGTACATCTTTTTTAATTAGATGCCAATGGGGGGTTTTAAAGTCTGAAAGTCAAACAATGTTATTACATAGTCCACCTACAACCTATTCCAAAATATGAGATTGTGTCATCTAAGCTTGAATTTGCATGGTGTACATGTAAGGTTCTGAGTCAGCATGCAGGGGTGAGGTACAGTGGATTTTTTCCAGAGCTGTCGCTACTATTCCTTGCTGATGTTCTCCCACTGCTTTAAGACTGCGCCATTAGGCTCACCATTAAGTGCTTCCCACCCAAACAGAATCGAAGTCAGAACTTAAAAGCATGAAAGGCTGCTGTAGTTAGTATTTAAAATTATCATTTTCAAAAATTCGCTCGTATTTTTCTCTCCTGGTGTTATTTTCAGTGCACGACCATTTGGCAGGGCTTTCCAATTTATCCCAAACTGATGTCGGTCACTTTTTTTTCTTCCCTTTTGACATGTCCTTTGAAACTTTTAGTAATTCTGTTTCATCAACCATTTACCCCATTTGGAAGAAGCACCTGTGTTATCATCTGCTCTTCCTGATGAAGCACTCCCTGGGGAGTTGGTTTTTTGTTTGCTTGCTTGTTCAGGGGGGTGTTTTTCTGTCCTACACGTGCTCCCACCCATTTTCTTTTTTTGAAAGTTTAGTTCTTGTACCATACACAGTGTGACAACTTGGCATGAAAGTAGAGGGAATTGAATTATTTTTCTAAATATGCAAACCCAGTAAAGAAACTTCATTTGCAGTCTATATATAAGTCTTGGAGGAGGTAACTCTGAAAATTAATAAGAAAACTGTTCAGCCATGCCTCCCCCCTCCCCTTTCTTAGTGCTTCTAGCTTCATAGCAAAAATTGTTTCATTTCCTTGGTGAATTTGAACCCAGCTGAGAAATAGAGACACTCTAAATGGAGCATCAGATTTAAGTTGTAATATATTTTGCATGCATGCTACTTGATGCTTTTGCTTTGGAGCCACTTCTGATGCAAGTTTTGTCATCCGTGATGTCTGTGTTGTATTCAGCACCAGCAGCGTACGTGATGGCTACCAGCGCTTTGTATGTGCGGCGTATTTTGCATGTGCTTCTTTTTGCACTGCTTTAGGAGGCAATAAAGACGGGCTTTGTAAGCAGTAACTCTAAATAAGCTTTAGCTGTTTTAACGTCTCCAGCACGCATTCTTAGGAGCATGAGCAGATTTTACCACAGATGGAACAGAATGCTGTGAGGTCCCTCAGGGTTATGGTCAGCACATCAAAGCAAAATTCAGTCTTTTGTAGGTTTCTGGGTTTAGATACTTAGCCATTCTAGTTTGTCAGTTTAAGCAGTGAAGTTCAGACCTATGTTTTTTGGGTGAATTGAAGCTATTCCTGCAGAACTGTAGGGGATTGCAGAGGCCAGTTTAGGGTTATTCTTGGAAGAATTTCAAGTCTCTAGGGATCTACTTGGATACATTTCCTGTCTTTCTTGAAAGAATTGTTCATGCTGCATGAAGCATAGTAGGTTTATTCACCCATCCTCTTTGCTTGCAAACATAGCAAATCCGTATACTACATAGGATTGATCATGGATGTTCTCTGGGGAAATATAGGAATTAAATTGCCTGCTGCTTGCAGTGCTATTCAGAAGTGAAATAAGTAAGTGGAACTTGGCTTGTACAAGGCAATGTTTGCTCACTGTGTTGAGAGAAAGCTCGATGTTTTCTCTGGAACTGATCATGTTTACGTACGTGTAACTATAGCCTGGGACAAACCAGCAAAGACTGAGTTAGGACTTGCCGTAGAGTATAAAGGCTGTGGCCCTCTCCTTTCGGTGTCGTGCTTCCAAGAACTTTTCAACCTTTTGGGGAAGCTCAAGTGTAGTGTGCGTTCTTACCAGTTTCTTATCTGATAGGTGGCTGCAAGGATTCGCTGTTAAATAGCATTGCGGAGACAGGAGATTGCTTTGGGAGCTTGCTGCAGCTGCTTCGCACGTGGCCCTGGTATCGCAATACCTCCTGGTGTGCTGTTAACCCTGCCTTCCCCTCCTTGGTGCCTCTCCAGGGGCAAACACCACGAAAGGCAACTTGTGATAGAGCTTCTCAGCTTCTTCGACTTCTTAAAACATAACCAGTCAACCGTCACAAACTGCCTGCTTCTTACTCGTTTTTTTGCTTTTCATCTTTATTTGAATGCCTCTTCTTCAGAAACCGAATATATAGGGATATCAGATTTTCATAAGCAGCCGATTATTTTGTGTACCTTTTTTAATCATCTTGGTCTTGTCCCTCAGACTTTCACTTTTCTGCAATGGAAGGCTTGTAAAGACTGTTTCTGCCGCCTATGGCAGAGATTAAAGGGTTCAGCTTTTTTCTTTTTAAGATAGTGACAGTAGTTCAGTGTTTTCTTTGCAATCAAAGAAAGCAAGTGTCCTAAACTGTATTTGCTCTTTGAGATCAGTGCTCTCTATCACAGTAACCCTGTCTCTAATAAGTAATGATAAATTTGGATGCCACGAAGGTTCTGAGAAATTAGCATTCATTCTAAGTAGGGCTTGTCTTGCACCCGACACTGAACTGCACCACCTCTTTCGTTGGCTTTGGTAAACTCCTGACACCTTTTCCAGTCCTCATTAGTTACATATTCTGTATCATCTAGAGGCTTCTGCTGCTTTATTTTGGATGATTATCATTCTGAAATAATGACAGGAAGCTTTCCCAGGAAGTTTTATTTAGCCAGGCACTGCATCTTTCATCACGAACAGGTTAATCAACATTTTCAATCTCAAGTGCCCTGAACTCCCGTTCTGCAATACAGGTAGGGCTTTCTGGTCAGGCTGATCACTGGCATCCTATCTCACATAGCCTGTGTCCTCCTTCCTCTGCCAAAGTGGAAGAAAATGATGGATTTTGAGAATGTAGTCTGGTCGGTGTCCAGCCTACCAAGGAGAAAAGCAACACACACACTCACATTTCAGCTCTCGCTAAGCAGTATGGAGCTATTCACATGAGGAAATAATTACTGTCAGTTGCAAGAAAGCAAGCTTATAGTACTGATAGACTTTTCAGATATGAGGAAGCCACGCTTTCTGACCAATTCAGCTGTTTTGCCTTTTACCAAGTCCATGTTAAACAGGAGTGAAACATGGTACAATTGCTCGCTGTTGTATTATGCTGTGTAGACAAATTAAGTTGTTTTGTTACACTTCAGCAATTTGTAGTCTCTGACCTTATATTTCATCCCATCTCTGCCAAAATAAATTCACAGGGTTTTGTGAGCCACTTTCTTGAATGATTTTGAAAAGAAAACATATCAGAACTAGTTACAAGAAAGTGCTTGCTTTATAGTTTTGTATCAGCCTTTCATACTTCTATGGCTCAGGAGCGTTCCTAAGAACTAGGTCAAGTAATTCTCTATTTAGTACCAGGTAAGAGTAAGCAGATAGTTTAAAAGAGTGTCGTTAGTTTTTGATCTATAACAAAAATTTGTTGAGGAAACCTTGAATATAAAGAATTTGGGCCTAATGAGTTCTTACCAGTTTGCATGACTCTTCTACTAATGAACTTGACTAATTAGCAACAGATGCAACTCTGACTTTGTATCTGGAGTGACTTAGTTGTGCTTGGTCTCCAGTCTTTTTCCTGTACTGCCTTCTAAATTGTCATGCAAAAACCAGTGTATACTGCTCATCTCTCCTGTACTTCTGGTAAACTTCCAGTGTTATTAAATCCCTAGTTACCGGTTTCATAATCTAGTTCTTGGATTCAGCTCCCCCTCATCTCTCCACAATAGCGGTAGTTATACAGGGAGCAGTAAGCTGATTTGCAAACACCGGGTTCTAGGTTATTTTTAACATTTCTTAAGGTGGAACTTTACCGCTTACTGCTTCTGTATTGACACTTAGGTAAACTCTTCTGTTCAGTTACCTTCTTGGCAAAGACCAGATGTTGTGCACTGTACAAAGATTTTTCTTTTTTTTTCCAGAATCAAGAACAGCTTAGAGAAGAGGATTCTGATTTTATTCTGAATGATGGTGACCTTACTGTGACATACGGTGATACAACAATAACTGCAAACGGTTCTTCTGGCCCCCATACAGCTACCACTAGCCTTGACGGCAGGAGAACAAAAAGTAGTTCAGAGGAAGCACTGGAACGTGATTTGGGAGCAGCAGATCATGAAGTTACAAGCAGGGGTACCCGGCTAGTATTTCCTCTGGAAGATAATGCATGATTACTGACTCAGTAAAAATAACTCTTGCTCTGTGGATGGATCAAGGAAGACTGCAGGCCACTGTGTCACTTGAGGTGGGGATGTTTATTTAAACAAGTTAACACGCGTAAGTGGTTTTACTAGGGTATGAAGATGTCACCTATTTTTTACTCAAGATGCTGACAGTGGGGTTTTCTAAATGTCTGAAAATAGACGAATGAGGAAACTGGTCATTCTCCTCTTTTCAACCGCATATTGAATCCAAGTATAACTAGCATGCTGCAATTGTCTTGTTCAGCTGCAGCAGCTCTCTCTGAAGAGAGGTACATGAACACATTGTCATATAACTGAGCTTGTATTGGCTTAGCTTGGGAATGTGGAAGAAGAAATATAAACACGATAATTATTATGAGATAAAAAAGGATGGGTGTGTCTCCGAATGTGGAGAGACCCACTGTTAACTTCTCTTGTGAGGTTGAGGAAACTATAAAGTAAAACGGGACAGTATACATTAGGACTACAGGTGCATGAATGCAAGACTGTGGAATCTCTTACTGCAAGCTGTACTTAATGTATTTCAGGGAAAAAAGGGAAAAGACTTCTTCACTGGCCATGTGTTTAAATAGGAAGGCAATGAGAGCTACTTGTCCCTTTAGCTTTGGGCAACTTGACTATTACTATTAGCCTAACTTCTAGTGCCTCAAAAGAAAAACATCCAGCTTCCTGTGGTCTAAGACGTACCTGACCCGACACAAGCCCAGAGCCAGGCTCTCTTGGGCAGAAGTCATAAGGTAAAACTTTCTCTCCCTTAAGGTTCTTAAAATCGGATGAAGATAGTTGGAAACCTATCTTGGGCCAGGGAAAACAGCAGATAAGAGGAGGAGGGGGAGAAAAGAGAGAGAGAGAGAAAGAGAGAGGCAGTATTGAACTGGCATGGAACCATGAGGTTTCATATTGCTCAGAAGAATCCATGGACTCTGCTTACAGTTCTTGTGTGTGATAAATAGCAAACATCTAATTAAACAGACAAACAAATACTACTGGCTTTACCATTTGTGACTATCCTAAAAGAAAGATGTTTACTCTTGTTCTTTTTCGCAGAGTAGATGTGAAACTTCAGTGGGGCACTGCACAACAACATATAAGCTACAGAAGTGATGAAGTAGTATCATCTTAAATGTGAAAAGGGAAAAATCTTTGCCTAGTATTTAGCCCACTTACACGTAGGCTAGCTTTAACATATTGCTAAATGCTTTTTAATTTCCAAATGAGGAGATATCATTGTCTTTGCCAATAGCTGAAAACTTATGCTTCGAAGAGCAGTTCAGCTATTTAAAGCATGCTAAAATGTGATTTCATTCTCATGTCTCAAAAGGTTTATTTTTTTAAAGAGTTCTGTGGCCCACTAATGTGATGTAATATCAGTTTGTCTAAAAAGTGTGGTTTTCTTCCTGCCATTCCAGTTGTTCCTCTCATAAAAAATGTGTGTGAGTAAATACCCACTCTGTTTTTCCTTAACTATTAAACTTCATGGGCTAACTTCGGTACGAGAACTTACTGCTGCAGAGGAACATTGCAGTCATATTGTCTAGTCTGCTTTCTTTCAAATGTGTTCTCTAATGAGTGATCTACCTTCTTGTCTGTCCCTCCAAGATAAATTTGTAAAGGGCATTGATCTGTAATGACTGTCTGACATTATTAAGAAAAGAGACACAAGGAAACGAAGCTTTTTTGTGGGAAAACTGGAAGAGCAATACAGGCTGAGCTCTGTTCTTAAACGGTGAAGAGTAACAAACCCTGATGAAGATCTCTGAGCAGAACAACTCCTTTTCAGTTCTCCTCTGCTTTCAAGGAAGACAAAGCAGATAGCAATGATACGTGCTATTTATACTGTTTACATGGCTTGTTTTTTTCTTTTTTGAAGTGCTCTGGCAGTAGAAAAAGTGGTTTCCTCCTAAATTACAAAAACAATTGCATTCATTTTGGACAAGCCTTTGAGACCCAGGCTGTCAATGCTGTGTGAAGACTTGAGACTTCTACAACAATTAGAGTTATTAGCTGGGTCATATGAACCAAATTTTGGGTTGAGACAGTGAAACTTACCCAAAATAAATGGACTTAATACAGTGAGGCAAATCTTGACGTGCAGCTTGAAGCTGAAGCTTACCAAATCACTTTGGCTGAAAAACAGAGCCTTATGCAGAGAGAGATCTGTTCTTTGGAAGAAAGATCAGGTACAGATTCTGGAAGTAGAAATTCTGTTTCATTAGCTTCTTCAGGAAGACTGAATCTCTTGAAAACATCAATAAACCGTCCCAGTGCAGATGCTTCTCTGTCTGTGTTTTTAATTCCCATAGCAAAAATATACAATTGAATGAAGTTCACCAGTAAGCCCAAAATGTGGTTGTGAAAGAGCAGCCAAAATGGATGGATCATTGGTGAGAGGTGAGGAATATAATAGTCTAACTTCACATTCAGAAATTACTTAAAATGCTTATCCAACATGGTGAGGGGAGGCCCATATACACAAGCTTAATTTTCATTCATGTATTACAACAATGAATTTTATTCCTTGATTTCTAGCTATTTTTCATTTTAAGCCTCCTTCCAAAATTGGACTTCACTGCCAACAAAAGGTAAGCTAAAACATCTAGCCTCTTCTTACTACTGACACCGATCCTTGTACCAAATTCCCAAGGGACTCCTTTACTGAAAAAGTGGGGAAAACAAACAAAAAAACCCCTCCTTGTCCTGAAACACTGCATATGTCACCAACTCTCTAATAGATCCTTTTTTCTTGTGTGTATCCTTGTGAAAGAATAGTTTAATACTTTCAATTCCTTTCCGGTAAGATCCTGAGCTGGGAAGAACTTGACCGAACCATACTAGCAGATGCGTGTTTTCTTACAAAACTCAGTGTGAGGTTTTGAATAGAAAACATGGCTTAAGATTGCGATGAACAGCAGTCGATACATATTAGCATCTTCTTCAAATTGAAAAAGAAAACCTGTAAGATCATGGTCTTCAGTGAAAAAAGCATTGCTATACTAGCATAGGATGTTGCAGCTTACATGGCTGCCCTTGTACGTGGGGCTGAGTGATTTCTCCTTGTAGTTTTTTGCTTGCTGCATCGTCAACTTACTGCTGAAAATCTTCACCTGAAGTTGCCAAGGAATCTGCTAACTTCAGTCTCTAGGGAAGGGCAAAATGAAGTCCCTAATCTTATTTCAGTGCTTCATAGAAGCTAATACTGACAGTAAGGCAAGACTGTTCTGCAGTTGCTTGAATTCCCCTGCAAGCAAATCTGTCCGATTGAGTTGTGTTAAAGCCGCAGCAATCCACAAGCAGTATTAAATACTGTTAGTATTAAATACTAACATCGTATTTAAACAGACTAAAAAGTTATCTAAACCCTTCTGTGTATTAACCTATAATGTCTTGGGGGGGAAATCAGAAAGATTTTCATTTACAGAATTTGGAAGAACACAAAAAAATCTAGAAAACTGGCATTTTTGTGCTTTGCTTGCCAGTTAATTCAGCGTGTGTGAGAAATGATCACGTTTTGAGTCACCTGCACAACACTGCACATGTTTTGTGCAAAAGAGCAAGTTCTCTTAACTTCCATGGGACTACAGGCCGTTTATCAGTTAAAGCTGAGTAGCTGTGAGCAGATCTTGTGACTGCTAAGAGCAGTACCATAGCAGCCTCACTACAAACACGGGTGGAACACGGGATTTTTCAGCATGCTTTTTGTGAGAGGTGTTCAAAGCGCTGCTTACACTGGCTTCAGCGGTAGCTCTGATACTCTGATCTCAAGTTATCAGAAAGGAGGAACACTGTGACAAGTGTGTTTATGCTGTATGTTACATGTCTGCTATGCAGAGGAAGGGTACAGCGTAAGCTAACTTCTCTGATAAAGACTGAACAAGGGTAAAGTATCACATACTTGGTACTTGGCCAAGTCTAGCCCTATTCCCAGGACGCAAGTTTTTGGCCTATGAAAGGACCAAAAAAAAAAAATTTTTTTTTTTTTTAACACTGAAGGAATTGCCTTTGGGGAAAGGACTGCAGAAATTTTAACTGGAGGGAAAAAAATCTAAGCTCTTCTGGCTGAACTTCCGAAGAGCTGATCTGAAGCAAAGGTTAAAATGATGTCTGCTACTACTAATACGATAGCTATTACGTTTTACTCCTTGGTGGAGGGAAAGACCTCATAGTAGGAAGTCTAGCAACTTTAATAGATAGCATGAGCAGCTTATAATAACTAGGAGGCCAGATCCTGTGATTTTAATCTTTATAATCAGTGAGACAATTTGTAGATTGGCATGGAAATCATGGTCCTTCTTGTATAGAAAGCATGGTCCTTCTTCTAGAAATTCAATTTAACTTGAATTGCAGTCTCTCTTCCGACAGCATTGGTCAGAGGAGCTTCTTTGAGTCTAATTCGTAACAGTAAAACCCTGGAAACTTAATATGCTTCACATGCTTTTCAAAGAAAGGTTCAGTGTTTTCTTTTAACTCTGTTTGAAGTAGCTCACAGGAATAACATGCTTGACCTCAGCCTTGGCAGAGATGGTGTCTGCCTCCCCGCAAGTGTGGGAATGGAATTTGAGTAACCAGAAGCCTCAACTTTTCTTTAAGATGCGGGTGAGGGGAGGGCCTTTTTCGGGGAGAAACCAGAGGACTTACAGATGCATCAGCAGGGAGTATTCCTCTCCAAAATACTGAACTTATGACCTGCTGAAACTTAGAAGCAAGGGAGAATAAACCATGACCAGGAGGCAGAGACCATCCAGCAGGAAAGCAGGCTATACGTAGTCAGTTTGGGGTACATACCGTCTTGGTCACAATCAGAGTCACAGAAAGTAGGACAGAGTTGCTTAGTAGCATGAACACATTCCTAAGAGAAATACATGTAGAATAACAATTTTGAATGTCCCCATATTGAAAAACCCTCTTTGTAAGAAGCAGCTCATGCAAACCTTATTTGCAGTGCAGGAGGAGGGTCTCGCTGCCCAAGTTTGGGGAGACCTTAATATTGTGCAATGAGAAACCGCAGATACTTCTTGGCCTGGGATTTTTGGGAGTGCCCTTCTGAAAAATAACTTCCAGTAGAAATAAGCCTGCAAAGTGAAAGAGAAGGAAAGTGTGGAGGAAATAGTGAATTACAAAGCCAGGAAATGGCTTAAACAGGC